AAAAAAAAAAAAAAGAGCTTAAATGAATAGAGAGAAATCCTGTTAATTGATGGTACATGGAGGGGATTATAGTCATTGTTATGAAACAAAGCATATGATTGTTGACTATAAAACTAATGATCTGCCCTACAAACTGTCACTCAATTCACAATAAAAATTAAAAAACATAAAACCCTGATGAGTAAATAAAGTATGTCCTATGTGTTCTACTAAAGTACACAACAGGTTAACAGGTACATGGCTTGTCTAACATCCCAGATAACCTAATTTTATCTGGGTATGTAGCACCAGAAAGGCAGATAAGAAAAGCAGGAGTGCCGAGGCAAGATGGAGGAGTAGGCAGACGCTCTGCAACGAAGTCATGGGAGACCCACGGAAGCAGATACAGATGGTGATCTGGAACCCTGAGCTTCAGAGGAGAGGACGGAGAGGTGAATCAATCGCATGCTGACTGGAAGACAAAGCTAAAGCAAAGCAGTGAGAGAAGAAAACCGGGTGAGCTGTCAGCTGGCATGGAGTGACGTGGCCATCTTGACCTTTTGTGAGTATCTATTGATACAGCAGCTTGCAGGCATAGGACAAGGGAGAAATGGGGCACAGTTCTCCCTTGTTCCATTCCCTCCTGGTTGGCAGGGGTGTGTCTAGTCTCTGCTCTTACCAACCCAGCAAGCAGTAGCACCCTTGCTTCTGTGGAGCCACTCTGAACTAGGCTACACAAACAACGAACAGAAAGCTGCATCCACACTTGCAAGTCTCTACCACACCCACCAGAGGACAAGTGGTGAGTGCCTGAGAACACACTAACATGCAATAATAAATTACAAGACAACCACAGAGTCTCAGGGAAATCAGACAATGTCAATTTACGTGAAGAAACAAGACAGAGTGCTTCAAACAAGTGACCAAAATAGAATCAGAAAATATAACACCAGGAATGGTATCAGAACTACTCGATACGGAATCTAAACGAATGCTATTTAGGTACCTTTAACAGACTGAGAGAAAGATCAAGGAAAGCAAGAATACAAAAAACTTTGAAAGAACTCAGGAAAACACTACAAGAAAAAAAATGGCAAAAGAAATTAGAAACTAGACAAAACCAAGGATAAGAAAGCCAGCAGGCTAACACTAAGACTTCAGAAGTAGACAGTATGTTGGAAGGGTAAATATCAAGAGATTTTTCTTCAACTTCAGAAGTAGAATTGAATCAATGATAAGGAGAAGTGAGGGAAAAACAGCAATGAAGCTGCGAGCTAAGCCCTACAACATTCAAGAGACTCCTGTGAACCAGGGTGGAGACCTGGACGGCCAGCAGTGTGGCAAGACCTGGGTACTCCTGGGTCCAGAGTCAGTGACATAGCCACAGAGGACTAGAGTGGAGAGTGAAGCATCCAGCAGATAAGAAGAGAGGGCGTATGCACAAGAACACTCACAGTTGTAGCTAATACCCACTTGACCTGGCTTCAATGACTGGATGATCAGAGATCAACTAGAAGAAGAAAGAAGAGGAAAAAAACAGTGATCTGAAACAATTTGATGAACTTGACCTACACCTATGGATGCAGTAGCTCAAAAGGGGGAACAAATCTTCACAGGGAGGATCATTCCCACCCCATCCACAAAGTAGACATTGGCTACCCAAAATGGGGGGGCTACAAAGGTAAGAAGTGACTGGCTTACAAGCTTTCAGAATGGAGCCTAGATCCAGAGGATGCGGAGGAAGGTAGAATCTCCATTGAGTGGTATCCAATCTGTCTAGGTGGGGCTGATGAAAGGAGATGAGGATAGGTCTCTTGTGGTACAATAGTGAATAATTGCTATCAGGGCTGACTGTGAGGGTTGGAAATGTAAAGGTAGACGTTTTGTAGCAAAAGGAGGTGAGTGGTTGACTTTGCATTTGCAGTCCAGGAGTGGAGGTCCATGGGACCATCAATGGAGAGGAGCGTAGTGCAGGGCCCTACCCAGAGAAGCAGTGATGCCAGAGATGGAGGCAGAGACAATGATGTGGAGACATGGAGCGGCTGGGAACTCTAGACCCAGAAAGGGAGAGGGGCTGTGTGCTGATGACCAGGGGGCAGGCTTGCAGGGCATACCCTTTGGTTGGTTGATGATGCATGGAGGGGATTGTAACCATGGCAATGAAATGATAAATGATAGGATGAATGTAGAGCTAATGTTCTCCCATGTAAACTATCACATAATTCACAGTGAAACCTTAAAAAAAAAGAAAAATAATTAAATCAATGGGAGGCCAAATTATTGATTGAACTTTAAGAAAAATCTCTCAATATTTACCTGCTAGAGGAACAATCAGAAAAAAGAACGAAAAACTCCAAAGAAAGCCTAAGAATTACACGGAACACTGTCAAGAGGAATAAGTCGTGTATGATTGGAGTTCCAGAACTAAAAGAGACACAAAAAAAACCACCAGAGAGCAAATTGTCCACGAATTCATGAATTGTTAGAAGAAAACGTCCCTATCATCAGGAAGGACAAGAAGTTAGCACTTCAAGAAGTTACACAAACTCCAAAACAGGATAGACCCGAAAAGAAAATCACCAACATGATCACACTTTTCAAAACTAATGACAGAAAAAGAATCCTGAGAACAGCTCAGGAAAATCAAAACATTACCCACAAAGGAGAACAACTCAGACTCAATTCTGATTTCTCAGCAGAAAACCACGTAGACAAGAAGACAACGGGATAACGTAGAAAACTTGAAAGAAAAAAGGCTCATCAAGAATCATATATCCAGAAAAACTGCCCAACAAATATGATAAACATGAGATAAGGATACTTACAAAGAAACAGAAATTAAAAGAATTGTAAAAACCAAAACAATTTTACAAAAGACACTAAAGGGAGTTCTTTAGCCAGAGAACCAAAACAACGCACAGCAACCTGAGACTAGCACGTGACCCTATCACCCAGAATTCCACCCAGATATGCAGATGGTGGTAAGTGCTTTCAAGCTGGTTCTGACTCATAACAACCCTGTATGGGGTTTCTGAGGAGTGGCGAGTGGTTTGAACCAGCGACCTTGCAGTTAACACTCCAGTGTTTATTCTACAGTGCCACACCAAGGACTCCAAACCCAAATATGTAAGTATTCAAAGCAAAACAAACCTACAAGACTGAAAAATTGGGGATCAGATATGCAACAACAAAAAAGTAAAGGAGGGAATGAAGAGAAAAATCAAGTTTTCAAGAAAGAAATGGAAATAAACTTAACTGTAACCCTAAAACTAAGCCAAGCCTTACTCCTAGCCCTCGCCCAGCCCCTATCCCTAATACTAGCCCTAACCATAACTGTTAACACTAAAGTAAGCACAATCCTAACCCTAACTCCTACCTCCTACCCACCCTACGAAAAATTACAGAGAAGCAGCAGATGGTCACACAGCCGGCTTCTTCCAGCAGAATGAGGAAGCAGAGTAACCACACGCTGTTCCTACAGGGCTGTGCTCACTGCGTCTGCGTCAACTCACTAATCGACAGGCGGATGATGTAGGCCTCAGAGAACTGCTTACCTGAAGCATGGATTTTGGGTGAGGCAGATCTTCTCCTTGGTAAATTTTAATATATGCCTTAGAATATAAACATAAAACTATGATTAGAAATAGTATCCTGTCTTATTTTATTTATACTGTCACTTTTAAAACCAGTGACCATTACAAGTACATTTTCCTAAAGACCTGTATCCACAACCAGGAATTAGAAAACACACAACACACCTTTGAGTGCATGTTAGTGGTTTGAGTTAATTAAAATAACTAAAAAGATTCTCGAGCAGCACAAGCCTACAGGCTAGGACTTCCATCCGACTCGCCATGCACACTGGCCTCACCACTCCCTGTGGGCAGTGCCCACTGCCTTGAGGTAGACTTGTACATCTAGGTACCATCTCCTACTCACAGCAACTTCCTAACACCTCCTGTCCACACCGGCTTCCATCAGGAGTCATCTTCCTTTAGCCACTCCTCTAAGAGTGCCAAGAACATCCATGTGGTTCTTAGGCAGATACTGCCACCCAGTGGCTCACTCCTGGAAGGACACACACAATTGTCTGAATTCCCCTCACTCTCCCAGGAAAATGTTCCTCTAAAGTCTCCGAGTTAAGAAATCTCACTCCTAAGTTTGTCTTTCAGCCAAATTTGTAGCTAAATCAGAACAGGTGCATATGGCTCTTCCTTGGCCTTAAGTGCAAGAAAAGGCACGGATCCTTTTCAATGATTTAAAAGTTGCTCTGGCAATTGTTGCTGCTGAGTGCCATCAAGTTGGTTCTAACTCACAACGACGCTGTATAGGGTTTCTGATGAGTGGCCAGTGGGTTTGAACTGCTGACCTTGAAGTCTGGTATTACCCTACAGTGCCACACCAGGACACTGAACATACAACTGTGAAAGTGACTGTAATCATGAATTTCTTTCCAGAAGAGGTTGATTCAACCATCTCAAAGTGAGATCAAATTTACATAATATTTAAAGGGCCAGTAGGAGTTACTGGGTTTGGGAAGTCAGAGCTTGGTAACCCAGTACTGAAGACTGAGTTACAAGAGAATGAAAGAGTATCCGCGTGGTTCTTGGCAGACACTGCCACCCAGTGTCTCACCTCTGGAAGGACACAGAGGTCTCGAAACACTCCTCACCATCTCCTGCAGGAGACTTCCTCTAACTGATATTTTCTAAGTTACTTCACACCCTAGATCAGCTCAACCAAAAATGCAAACATTTGATCATTAAAATCCACATTTACCTTAAAGTACTCCAGGAGTCCCCGACAGGTGACTTTTGAGCCATTGATCTCCTTTTCCATTAAGTTCGATGGGTCTAATACAAATGGTATCAGTGTCTGTAACTGGTCTTTGAATTCACTGGCAATATCTGTTAACAGACCATAAAGAATAAAACATGATGAGGAAATAAGAAACCAAATAACCTTAAACAACTGGGTGAGCAAAAGAATGCAATTTCAGTGCCTACCCAGTCATTTAACCTTGGGTAGTTGCTATATTTAAACACTTGCTAGGGAAAGAGGGCTCAGGAAATTTTACACTTTTGGGTTACCATGACTCTATCCTAATGTACCTTTCTTTGTCCCCTACCTTTCTACAGTATAACGTGCCCTCTACTTCAGAATTCGGAGTCCTGGTGTGGCGCTGTGGGTTAATGTGCTGGACTGCAAAGTCGGTTTGAACCTCAAAGTCAGCAGTTCCAGCTCACCAGTTACTCCTTGGAAACCCTGTACAGGGTAGCTATGGGGAAGAATCAGGCTGCTAACCTTAAGGTCAGCAGTTCTAAACTACCAGCCGTTCCGTGGGAGAAAGATGAGGCTTTCTGCTCCTGTAAGATTTACAGCCTCAGAAACCCTGTACAGGGTCGCTATGAGTCAGAACTGACTCCATGGCACACCAACAACAACAAAAAGTTAGGCAGCCCATTGCTGCTGCCACTGGGCCAATCTATCTTCTTGGAGGTCTTCCTCTTTTTCTCTAACCCTCCACTCTACCAAATATGCTGTCCTTCTCCAGGGACTGGTCCCTCCTGACTGCATGTCTGAAGTATGAGAGATGAAGTATGACTACCCTGGCTTCCAAGAAGCACTCTCGCTGTACTTCTTCCAACACAGATCAGTTTGCTCTTTTGGCAGCCCATGGTACCTCTTGGTACACAGGGTAGACAGGGATGGGCAACTTGGACATTGGCTACCCAAAATGGCGGGGGGGGCTACAAAGGCAAGAAGTGACTGGCTTACAAACTTTCAAGAGGGAGCCTAGATCCAGAGAGCGAGGAGGAAGGTAGAATCTCCACTGAATAGTATCCAATCTGTTTGGACGGCACTGATGAAAGGAGATGGGGATAAGACTCATGTGGTACAATAGTGAATAATTACTATCAGGACTGACTGTGAGGGTTGGAAATGTAAAGGTAGATGTTTTGTAGAAAAAGGAGGGGAGTAGTTGACTTTGCAGTCTAGGAGCGGAGGTCCCTGGGACCATCAAGGGAGAAGAGCAGAGTGCGGGACCCTACCCAGAGAAGCAGCGACACCAGAGATAAAGGCAGAGATGATAACGTGGAGAGATGGAGCCGCTGGGGACTTTAGACCCAGAGAGGGAGAGGGGCTGTGTGCTGCCGACTGAGTGGCAGACTTGTAGGATGTACCCTTTGGTTGGTTGATGATGCATGGAGGGGATTGTAATCATTGCAATGAAACGATATATGATAGGATGAATGTAAAGCTAATGTTCTCTCATGTAAACTGTCACATAATTCACAATAAAAACTTACAAAAAGAACCTCTGAACAAAAGTTATACAATGGAGGAAAACATTGTCCTATAACAAACAAATTTTTTAAAAAATCTAAAAAACCATTCTTAAATTGAGGTGTTTTGAAAGCAGGGGGTATGCTTCCACCTAGAGTGATGGTCAAACAAAACTCATTTCTTAACCAGGAAGATCCAGCAATTCACAGAAGACCTGTATCTCTGTCCCTTTTCTTGAGAGCAAAAACAAGTCTCTAGAAACTCTTTAAAAAAAAGTAGAAGAGAAAGTAATGGAATTAAAAGATAATGGAATTTCTAGAGCCGAGAGCGAAGCATCCAGATGATATGAAGTCAGGGGAGATGCACAAGAATGCCCAAACTTGCAGACAGTACCCATTTGACCTAGCCTCAATGGCTTGATAATCAGAACTCGAGTAGAGGAAGTTAAAAAAAAAATTTTGATAAAGGAAACAAGAGTGAATTGTTATAATTTGATGAACTTGACCTATACTTATAAATGTAGTAGTTCAAAATACCAACTGAGGGAAGGAGTCTTCATAGCAATTATCAATGTTATCCCCTCTGTATACAGGGTAGATAGGGACAGGCAACTTAGACATTGGCTACCTAAAATGAGAGTGCAATAAAGGCACGAAGTGACTTGTAAAAAAAAAAACTTTACAAGTTTTCAAGAGGGAGTTTACCTTAAGAATATGTGGAGGAAGGTAGAGACCCCACTGAATAACTTTCATTTTGTCTAGACAAGACTGGTGAAAGGAGATGGGGATAAGAGCCTTATGATTCAATAGTCATTGCTATCATGACCAACTGTGGCTCTCACAACAGGCAGACGTTTGGTAACAAAAACGGGGGAATAGTTAATCTTACAGTCCAGAAACAGAGGACCATAAGACCATCAAGGGAGAAGAGCACAAACGGAATGCGGGACCTTATCCAGAGAAGCAGCGACACCAGAGATGAGGCAGAGGTGTGGACCTGGAGAGAGGGAGCAGCTGAAGAGTCTGGACTCATGGAAAAAGACTGTGTGCTGGCAGCCAGAAGGCAGGCTTGCAGAATGTGCCCTTTGGTTGTTTTAAATTATGTATTCCTGAGTGTTTTGTTGCCCACCCTCAAAAAAAGAACAGGAGTGAATGAGAAGCAAATACTGTTGGATGATGATGCACAGAGGAGACTGTAATCATTGCAATGAAACAATGGTGTAAAACTGATTTTCTCCCATGTAAACTATCACTCAATTCACAACAGAAACTTTTTAAAAAAGAAAATGGAATTTTTCCACAAACTTTTTGAGTTCTCTTTGTAGTTTTATTATTGAAAAACATTAAACCAGAATGTGTTATGTATCAAAGACAATCTGCTAAAGAGACTGCAAAGACATAAGGCTTTGATCCTTTCATACAGTCAAGTAGATCCAACCCATTTCATATTCTCAAAATACAAGATAACCAGTCTTTAAGTTCTTCTGGTTTCGTAGAGTTCTCAACTGGCCAATTGTTTAAAAAGTAGATCGCCAAGTCCTTCTTCCTAGTCTGTCAGTATGGAAACCTGCCCATCATGGGTGACCTTACTGGTATGTGAAATATTGGTGGCATAGCTCCCAGCATCACAGCAAGACACAGGCTACTTGGGGGTGGGGAGGGGGGAAGGCCGATAAATGTTGATGAACACCAGTAGAACATTGTTTGATACAGTGCCGGAAGATGAGGCCCTCAGGTTCAAAAGCACTCAAAATATAACTCAAAGTAGAGCTGACTTTAATGGCATGGGTACAGGAAAACTTAGAGGACCTTCATGTGCTGATGGGGCACAACTCAAAATAAGAAGAAACAAGTGCAAATATCCATTCATAATTGGAACCTGGAATATACACAGTATGAATCTAGGAAAACTGGAAGTCGTCAAAAATTAAATGGAATGCAAAAAGATCAATATCCTAGGCATTATGGAGCTAAATAGATCAGTATTGGCTGTTTTGAAGCTGACAGTCATGTGGTCTACTACTAAAAGATTGATAAATTAAAGAGGAATTGGGGTTGCATTCATCATCAAAAAGAACATCTGAACATCTATCCTGAATTACAAAGCTGTCAGAGATAATATCCATTCCTCTATAAGGAAACCACTTCAAATTTATGCACCAACTACTAATGCTGAAGATGAAAAAATTGAAGATTTTTACCAGCTTCCGCAGTCTAAAATTGAGCAAACATCAGTCAAGATGCATTGATGTAATCAAGAATAGCATCTCACAGGGAAGTCTAGGGAGAATTCTACATCTCTTTCTAATGAAGGGCCAAAGTTACTATTGTTGTTATGAAAGTGTTGATAAGTGTCGAGTCAGTTCAGCTGGTGAGCTTGAACTGCCGACCTTGCAGTACAGTACATGAACCCGCAGCGCCACACCAGGACTCCAGAGTTACTATTGTTGTTAAGTGCCATCGAGTCGATTCCGACCCATAGCGAACAACCTCCAGGTTTCCAAGGAGCAGCTGGGGAGCTTGAAGCATCAACCTTGCAGTTCAGATAACTATGCAGTCTGTCGCATTCGCCCACAGTGCCACACCAGGACTCCAGAGTTCCTATTAGTATTGGCTCTTTAACGAGCCCTGGCAGTTTGTAGTTATACGTTGGGCTTACTCAGAAGGTCAGCAACTGCAATCTACCAACAGTTCCGCTAAAGAAAGATGAAGCTTTCTATTCCCATAAAGATTTTACAGTCTCAGTTGTACAGGGTTGCATGAATCAGAATCAACTTGATAGCACATCACTATCCCTATATATACTTATTTACTACATGTACGTATGTATGTATGTATGTATATACAGACACAGATAAATACAAGTTAAAGTATTACCACTATTGTTCCAGTTCAGTGCACAGGTTTATTTAAAAAAACAAAACTGGGTTTAAACATGTCTCTGAAATTTGTGAGTGGCTGCAGATAAGTTGTCTAGGGTCTTAAAAGTACATGAGCGGGCAGGTTGTTTAAAGTGCAACCACTGGTCTTTCCGTGTGCGGAAGAAAGAGTGATGAGAATTGAAGACGCCTGGAATCAACTAGACCAATGGACTAAACGAACAGGTGGACATCGGTCTCCATGACTCTGAGACCAGAAGAATTAGATGGTGCCTAGCTACCACTACCAGCTGCTCTAAAAAGGATCACAGTAGAAGGTCCTGGATAGAATGGAAAAGAACATAGAACAAAACTCAAAATTGTATATATTAAAAAAAACACTGGGCTTACTCGTCAGAAAGAGACAGGAGGACCCCCAGGCTATGGCCCTCAACCACCGTTCAGGTCTGGAAAGGAAATCAACCTCGTGGCCCAATTTTCAGCCAAGAAGTACACAGGTACAGAGGGGGAACACCAACACAAGCCAGGTATGCCCCCCATGGAATGGTCATCACTCAAAATCAAAACAGCAACATTTCCCTGAGGACAAGGATGAGAAGGGACGGGAAGGTGGGCGGACTGGAAACAGCATATGAAGGAAGCGGGGTCACTACTGTTACATGGAGGGGATTACAATCATTGAGAGGAAACAAAGTGTACAATTTGCTGAATGTAAATGGGCATCTTTTTGTAAACCTTCACTCAATTCACAAGTTAAAGTCAATAAAGATATCTGTTTGCAGAAAGATTACTGGGGACTCACACCTGTAAGAGAACAAAGGAAGCCAACCTGGGAGAAGAGAGGAGTTGAGCTCTAATGCAACAGAAAAGAGGCCTCACAGGTGAAATGCTCAAGAAGCTTAACCAGCCCTTACAAGTTCTTCTGAGGGGAGACTAAAAAGACTGCCCTACCAGCCCTTCTATTCTAATTCTTAGCTAGCCAACTCAGTCCAGTTACTCTATTAGGTCTCCCTACTTTATCTGTTGTTAATTGCGCTGCATAGCAACCCTGTATCAGGTTTCCAAGGCTTTTGAAGAAGTCCTCACAGGACCAGAATGCCTGATCTCTCTCCCATGGAGCAGCTAGCAGCCTCAAACCACGGACTTTCTGGTTTGCCAGTGCTGTCCATAAGGAGCCATTGTGCTATATAGTAAATAGGGCAAACAGGGTTTTTATGCTGCTGACAAAGCCATTCTATATTGGATGAAAGGGGTCTCTCCACAAACAGCGAACCCCTCTGGTGTATAATTCAAGCAGTGGTCATTCAACATTGATTACACTAAAATTAAGATCAGCACGCACAGCACTATCTACCTCTGAAGAAATGGTCGACCTTTAAACAAACAAACAAGCCCACTAAAGTAATTCCTAAACTGTAAGGGTAACATTTTGCAGAAATAGCTTCAGGATATACTTCTAATTAAATTTCAGTTTCTAGAGCAACTATAGCAAGGTCTTTTTATAGATTATGCCTGAACAAAACATCCATCTTCAAAGCTGAGAAGTCTATAAACCTTGTTGTTGCTAGGTGCTGTAGAGTCGATTCCCACAGATAAGACGCAGCCTGGTCCTGCACCATCCTCCTGATTGTTATGTTTGAACTCAACGTTGCAGCCTCTAAGTCAACTCAACTCACACGCTACTTTACCAGGGACTTTACAACGCCCTTCTCCAGGGACTGGTCCCTCCTGATAACGTGTCCACAGGATGACAAGAGATGAAGTCTCGCCATCCTCACGTCTAAAGAGCATGCTAGCTGTACTTTTTCCAACACAGATTTATTTGTTCTTCTGACAAAAGGTTTATTCAATATTCTTCACCAACACCATAATTCAGATGCACAATTCTTCAGTCTATATTATTCACTGTCCGGCTTACACATGCACATGTTGTGGCTTGGGTCAGGTGAACCTTACTCCTCAAAATGCCATCTTTGTTATTTTAACACTTTCAAGAGGTCTTTTGCAGCATATTTGCTCAATGCAATACATTATTTGATTTCTTGACTGCTGATTCCATGGATGTTGAGTGTGGGACCAAGTAAAATGAAATCCTTGACAACTTCGATCTCTCCTCTGTTTATCACGATGTTACTTATTGTTCCAGTGGTGAGGACTTTGGGTTTATACTGAAGACTAACATTACAGAGCTAATAAGAATTTCTCACCAACATCCTCATAATAGACACACAGGACAAACATTTTTAAAGTGAGGTACAATTTTATAAAGTGGGTTTTTCCCCCTAATTCTTTTCACTTAAAAAATATTTAATCCACAGAACGAATAGCCCACATGAACTGCAGCCTCCTCTAACCTGAGATTTTAAAAGAACTAAAGGATGCCCAGCTACCACACCCAATCCCTCTGAACAAAACCACAGACGTAAGGTCCCAGAGAGAATGGATAAGAAATGCAGAACAAAATTCAAAGACAATAAAAAAGACCACACTAGACTTGGAGTCCTGGTGTGGCACTATTAGTTAATGCCCATAGTGCTTTGAACCCTAAGGCTGGCAGTTCCAGCTAACCAGTTTCTCCTTGGAAACTCTATATAGAGTCGCTATAGGTTGGAATCGACTCGACAGTACTTCACAACAACAAGACTACACTTACTGGACTGAAAGAGATCAGAGAAACCCCGTGAGACAACCTTCTAACCTGAAGACACTCCCAGAGGTCACCTCTCAGCCCAAAAATAAATAGGACATAGAACACACAACACCTGTGAGAAAGGTGCTCTTTAGAACAATCAACTATAGGAGGCCAAAAGGACAACAGCTGTTCAGTTCCAACAAGGAGAAAACAGGGAGACCAAGGGGAACGAAAGAAACCAGGAACCCGGGGAGGAAATACAGTGTCGGCACATTATGGAGATTGCAACCAGTGTCCGGCAACAATCTGTGTGTGAATTGTAAAAACCAGAAAACAAATTTATTATGTCTACAGTCACATAAAGCACAATATGTAAAAATTAATTTTAAAGGATACTTTGAAATATACATTTTTTTTAAATAGATAGGAACATACAACACATGCTACTCAGTGATCTTTTCATACTTACAAAACATATTATGGATCTCTGTCCACATAAATACATATAGATCCATCTGTCAACCGTTCCATTTTTAATGACTGTGTTTTATTCTTTGTACAAAGATACCATAATTTAACCAATACTTCATATAAAGACACTTCTGGGTTGTTTCTCATTACTCCCAATTATAAATGTTGCAGTACTGTACTTCCTAGTACATACATTTTTATCCATTTATTTGCATGGTTCCTTAGAATAAGTTTTTAAGTGTGGGACCTCTAAGAGTGGCAGCTGTCATTATATTATCACTGTTTTACTGGGAATCTGAGAAGCTCAGATACGTTAATAAACAAAAGTGCTCAGTCTAAATGCATGTGTAAACTGAGGGTCAGTCATTAAGTGACTCAAGATCTGAAATTAGGAACAAAAGCACAATGAATTCCAAGAGTCCCAACTCTGATTCCCACAACCTCCCATCTCGTGAGCGCTTCCTGAAACGATCACATGACCCAGCAATAAGTTATGTTATAATCACACGTAAGCTGCAAACAATAGTTAGGCCATGCATCATGTGAGCATTCCTCAGGGCATTATTTTACTTGATAAATAGTAGCTGACTTACATTTAGATTTCTTTTATTTAGCTTTTTTATTTTTTTGTAATGAAATTTTAATGATTCAGAAGTTGTAAAACAGAACTGACAAAAAATTATAATACGGATCTTTATAAGTTTATGAAATAAACTTATTAGCATGTTTATATCTTTGTAAACCAATAATGTCTCTGAGAAAGATATCATTACCACGAATATTCCAGATGGACAAACTGAGATAAACTGATTATGATGGTGACAATAAGGCAGGAACAAAATCTGAACTAGATTTCAAATACTGTTCTAAGACACCACACTATTTCTTTTTTAAGTATTAAAAGATTCAACACTGGCATTTTCTGGCAATTACTTAAGCAGCCCTGGTGGTGCTGTAGGATAAGCACTGGACTGCTAACCACAAGGTCAGCAATTCAAACCCACCAGAGCTGTTCTGCAGGAGGAAGATGAGGTTTTCTGCTCCTATAAAGATTTACAGCCTAGGAAACCCTATACAAGATTATTATGAATTGGAATCAATCTAATAGCAGTCTGAGTTTGGTTGTGGGTCATTACTTAATTTCAAAGATGAAATCACATTGCAAATAACATATGTAACATACCTTTCAACTTCCCATCAAAGTCAGGGCTGGTGGCCACCTGAAGTCCTGGATGTGGAAGGAGAAAACAGTTGACACTGGAAAAACATGAGTGAATGTGATTTCGAACATTCTGAATTTCCTCATGTTGATGTTCCTTCACCTGCCAATGAAGACCAACAATTTACCAACAACTATCGCTTTCTTCACTAGGAATGATTAGTGTAAGACAAAGGAAAGATTTCTCAACTCTGATGGATCAGAGTGGCCTATGTTTTGTCCCATGAGAAGCTTAGAACCTATGAAGCACTTTATATACTGGATTAACCATGGTTTGACTCCTTAAGCAAACACAGAACAGGTACTAAACTGAATATTGCACAATACTTAGGAGAACAAGGAAGGTTTGTGGGCATGAAGGAGGGTCATACTAGTTAGTTGTGACTGACAAAGGGCTTTGTGTTTTGGCTTTGGAGAACAGGCTAGGCCTGTTTCTATGCATTCCAAAACAAACAAGAATTCTGAATAAGAACAGAGCTAAACTTCTAAGTGTGACAATCAAAGGCACATATGGAACCTGGTGTAAAATGTGAAATGGAAATTACAATCAACGCTAAGACTTTTGCCCAGAAATCTCCTATACAATCCCTGTGAATCATGTTCTTGTTAAGCGCCGTCAAGTCGGTTTCAACTAATACCAATCCTGTATAGGATTTCCAAAAGACAACTGGTAGGTTTGAACCACCAGTTTTTCAGTTAGCAGTCTAGTGCTTATCCTACAGTACCACACCAGGACTCCCTGTGCTTCATGTTACTGTTGTGTTGTTAGGTGCCAGTGAGTTACTATCAATTCATAGAGACTCTATGGACAACAGAACAAAACGCACCAACCTCACATCCGTTGCTATGTTTGAACCCATTGCTGCTGCCACTGTGTCATTCTATCTCGTTGGAAGTCTTCCTCTTTTTCTGACCCTCCACTTTACAAAACAATATCCTTCTCCAGGGACAGGTCCCTCCTGATAATATGTCTGAAGTATGAGAGACAAAGTTTGGCCATCCTGGCTTCTAAAAAACATTCTGGCTGTATTTCTTCCAACACAGACTGGTTTGTTCTTTTGGCAGTCCACAGTACTTTCAATATTCTCCTCCAACACCATAACTCAAAAGCATCAATTCTCCTGTCTTTCTTATTCACTGTCCAGCTTTCACATGCATGTGAGATTATTGAAAACACCATAGCTTGAGTCAAGCGCACTTTATTTTCAAACTGATATCTTTGTTCCTGAACACTTTAAAGAAGTCTTGTGCAGCACATTTGTCTAATGCAATACATCCTTTGATATCTTAACTGCTGCTTACATAAGTGTTGATAGTGGATCAAAGCAAAATGAAGTCTTTGACAATTTCAATATTTTCTCCATTGATAAAAATGGTGTTTATTGGTCCAGGGGTGAGGGGTTTTGCTTTCTTTAGATTGAAATGCAACGCATACTGAAGGCTGTGGTCTTGATTTTTGTAAGTATTTTAAGTCCTCTTCACTTTAAACAAGCAAGGTTGTATCATCTGCATATAGCAGGCTGCTCATGAGTCTTCTGACAATCCTGATGCCATGTTTTTATTCATATACTCCAGATTCTCGGATTTTCTCAGCATACAGACTGAATAAGTAGGGTCAAAGAATACAACCATAGTGTACACCTTTCCTAATTTTCAACTGTTCCCTTGTTCTGTTTGAACAACTGCCTCTTCGATACAGGTTCCTCATAAACACAAATTAAGTGTTCCAGAATACTCATTCTCGGCAATGTTGTCCATAGCTTGTCATGATCCACACAATCAAAAGCCTGTATATGTAATCAATAAAGCACAGGTAAACATCTTTCTGGAATTCTCTGCTTTCAGCCAAGACTCATCTGACGTCAATAATAATATCCCTCATTTCACAGCCTCTTCTGAATCCAGCTTGAACCTCTGGAAGTTTTCTGTCAAGTTTTGGTTGCAGTCATTTGTATATTATCTTTAGCAAAATTTTACTTGGGTGACATATTAATGGTATTGCCTGATGATTTCCACATTCCGTTAGTTCACTTCTCTTTGGAATGGGCACAAATATGGATCTCTTCCAGTCAGTTGACCAGGTAGTTGTCTTCCAAATTTCTAGGCACAGATGAGTGAGGACCTCCAGTTGCAGCATCAGTTTGTTGAAACATTTCAATTTTTATTTTATTCCATCAATTCCTAATACCTTTTCTTTGCCAATGCCTTCAATGACCCCTGAACTTCTTTCAGTATCATTGGCTCTTGATCATAAGCTGCCTCTTAAAATGGCTGAACATGTATGCTCTTAAAATGGTTGAAATGTGTGCTGAAGACCTGGGGGGTACAGGGGAAGGATTGCATGGAGGGGATTGTAACCATGGCAATGAGACGATATAAGATAGAATGAATGTAAAACTAATGTTCTCCCATGTAAACTATCACATAATTCACAATAAAACATTTAAGAAAAAAAAAGTCATTGGTCTTACAAAATTCTATTCTGTGAACTCCAGCTTCATTTCTATCACGAAGGCCCTATTTTCCAACTACTGCCCCTTACTCTTTGCTTCCAACCTTTGTATTCCAATCACCAGTAATTATCAATACATCTTGATCACATGTGTGATCAACTGCAAACTGAAGAAGTTGGTAGAATTCTTCGATTTCATCATCACTGGCTTTAGCGGTTATCTCGTAGGCATATGGATGTTACCCTATTACAGACCACATTGTACTTCAAGATAGATCTCAATATGTTCTTTTTGATGATGAATGTGACACTATTCCTCCTCAATTTGTCATTCCTGGCATAGTAAACCATTTGGTTGTCAGATTCAAAATGGCCAATACCAGTCTATTTCAGCCTAGCAAATCAATGTGTATGTGTTCCATTTCATTTTTGACAATTTCCAATTTTCCTAAATTCATACTTCATTCAGTCCATGTTCTGATAATTAATGGATGTTTACAGCTGTTTCTTTTCATTTTTGAGTTGTGCCCCATCAATAAATGAAGGTCCAGATGGCTTTACTCCATTTGTGTCATCACAGTCAACTCTACTTTGAAGAAGCAGTTCTTCCCCAGTCGTATTTTGAGTGCCTTCCAACCTGAGGGGTTCACCTTCCGGCACTTATATGACAATATTCTGGTGCTCTTCAATATGTTTCAGTATTCAGCATTCTGGTGCTGACAGTGTTCCATTGCTATTCATAAGGTTTTCAGTGACTAAATATTTGGAAGTAGTTCATCTCTCCTTCCTACTTTGTCTTTGTCTAGAAGTGCAACTGAAACCTGTCTACCACAGGTGACCCTGCTGTGATTTCAAATACCTGTGGCATAGCGTGTAGCATCACAGCAACACACAAGCCACCACAGTATGACAAACTGACGGACAAGTGGTGGCCTGTGAATCATTTATCCAGATTTTACAACATATTCATGAATATCAACTGATGCTAAGATTCTATAAAGTATTTAACACATATAATATAAATTCCAATAATCTGCTTTAAATACAATGTTGCTGTTGTTAAATATCAACTCAGTTCCGACTCATAGCAACCCTGTATAGGATAGGGTTTCTGCAGAGAGGCAGGTGGGTTTGAACCATCACCCTTGCAATTAGCAGTTTAATGCTTATTCTGTAGCACCACACCAGGAACTTCTCAATTACATAGCTGAAGGCAAATGAGAAATATACCCCCTACTTTGGGTAATATGCCTACTTACCTGTAGACGCTTATCCAAAAATGCCATTCCTCCTTGTAGTCCGTAGCTGTATTCATAAGGGAAACTCCAGTCTCGAACCAAAAACATCAGTGTCTATTTAGAAAAAGAGAAGAGCATATTAGCACATTGCATAAATGAACTGTCAAGATAACAACTGAAATACTTATTTGCATAATGCCAGGGTTCTTTTCAAAGGAAGTCAGAAAATGTGCTAACGGATTTATCTGTTCTTTGTAAATGCCACAGAAACCTTAGCAACACAAGGATGTATAAAAGTCAAATGTGAAGTCAATATAACCCATCTATTATTTTTGTTCTCACAAGAACAGAAGGAAGACATTGAAGAGAAAATGTGAACTCAGGTCTCTGTCCTTAAAGCATGCATGGGAAATATGGTACAAAAAATGAGAAAGAAAAAAGGACAGGGAACCAGCTAATCACAAAATTAGAAAGAAAAACCACCACACTGAATTATGGTCAAATACTCCATGCATTTCTCATCTTCCTGAAGTTACTGTGCATTCTCATCCCCCAGGAACAATTAGCTAAAGCAGTGCTTAGCAAACTTTCTCTGCTAAGGGTCAGAGGAAATATTTTAGGTTTTGTAGACCATATGGTCTAACACAACTACTTGTCTCTGATGAGGCAGGAAAGCACAGGCAATTACATAAACAAATGAGCATAGCTGTGTTCCAATAAAACTTTAGTTAAGAACACTGACATTTGAATTTCATATGATTTACATAACATTTTCTTCTTTTAATTTTTTTTTTTTAACTATTTAATAATATTAAGATCCATTTTGGAATCCTGGTGTGGTGCTGTAGGACAAGCACTCAACCATAAGGTTGGTGATTCAAACTCACCAGCCACTCCCTCGGAGACCCCATACAGGGTCCCTATGAGTTGGAACCAACTCCATGACACTTACCAACAACAAGATCCTTTTTAACTCCAGATTCTATAAAAACAGGTGGTTAGCTAGATTTGGATTAATCTGTGAAGTGAGGTAAGTTATGAATAATTTTCAGAATTAACATCATACCTGAAAGGGTTTTTGGGAAATTTCATCCATTGCCAGACGACCATATTCTGTGAAGAGCTTTAACAAAGAAGAGTTTTAGTTTATAAGACAACATGACTTTAAATATATCTATGACTATCCTTTAGTAAAGCATTAATTTAACAAACTGGGTATTACCTACAGTGAGATCAAAATTCTACCATTTCAAAAGCCATAAGCCTTAAAATAATCTTGACTACGCTCCCTCTCATGTTCCACATTTCAACCCACCAGTCAGTCCAGCACCTGACTTCTTCCATGTGCCTTGGATTACTGCAACTGCCTCTTAACTAGTCTCCTAGTCTCAGCCCTTGCCCCACTACAGACTATTCACAGTACAGCAGCCACAGCAACTCGGTCATACACAAGTTCCAACAGACAATCATTCGTCTGTTCAAAACCCTCCAACCTCAGTTACTGTAGAAAGAAGTCAGTCCTGGTGGTGCAATCCTGCCACCAGACCCCTCCTCGCTGCTCCTCCAACATGCTGAGCATACTGCCGCCTTAGCATGTTTGTACTGGTTCCTCACTCTGCCTGTAATGCTCTCCCCCTACATCTCTGCATGACCTGTAAAAGGTCTTTTACTCAAATGGCTCATTCTCAGTGATGCATCTATGCCCCTCAAATGATTACAATTCTCCACACAATACTTCCTATCCCATTTCTTCTTTTACATTATTCTCCTTAACACCATGTTTAACCATGGCACTGAGCTATATAAACCGAAGTTCAGCGGTTCAAACCCACCAGGTGCTCCACAGGAGAAAGATGAGGCTGTCTGCTCCTGCAGAGGCTTGCAGTCTGGGAAGCCCTGTACAGGGTCGCTATGAGTCAGAATCAACTTGATGGCAGTGGCCTTGGTTTTGCTTCTTTTACTTATTTATCTTGATTAATGTCTGTCTTCACTACTAGTATCTAAACACCATGAGGGCAGGAAAGTCTCTTTTGTGTGCTACTATGTCTCCAGCAGCAAGCAAAGTGCAGGCTCCACAGTTCAGTGGGTTTTGAGCCACTTCCCCCTGCCAGCCCTCACAGAAGCATTCGTGAACACACCCCTTAACGGGAGCCTAACTGTGATGTCACAGTCCAAGAGCCTCAGAGACTGCACCTTTCCCACCTGCAATAGTCTCCTCCCTGCCTTCTGTAGGCCCAGTCTGCTTATGTGATGCATGGCTGCTGCTTGTGGAAAGAGATTCTTTTATTCTCTGTGGTCTATAAAATGTCACCATGAGGAGAAAGAACTTTGGAAATGCATCATGGTGTCTATGGTTGTCTTTATCTTGTGTTTACTCGTTTAAGATTAAATAAGAGCTGGTATAATATTTATCTGGAGTCCTGGTGTGGCGCTGTGGCTTAATGCGCTGGGCTGCAAAGTTGGTTTGAAACGCAAGGTCAGAAGTCCAAGCTCACCACTCCTCGGAAATCCTATTCAGGGTCGCTACGGGTTGAAACTGACTCAAAAGCACTTAACAGCAACAACAACAAATATTTTTATCTTGGCAGCTGTGGTCTCTTTTCTCCCCTATATCAGGTCCAACAGATGGAAACACTGCCCCCGACATCAGCCTCACAATTGTTAGGTCTGAGCCACTGGTGCAGCCACTGGGTCCATCCATCTGGGTGAGGGGAGGCACTTCCTCTTTCTTGCTGACCCTTCACTTTACCAAGCATGAGGTCCTTCTCCAGGGCTGGTCATCTACACTCCCAGATTCTTTCCTCCAAGTTACCTGCCTAACCCCATCAAGAAGACGGATTATATTCTTTAGACAGGTTAAACAAACAAAAAATCTAGACATGGGCATTCAGTTCGGCTGTGGACAGGAGTAAGTTACTGGTGGTGGTGCTGCTGCTGGTGTTGGTAAGTACTGTTGAGTCAATTCTGACTCTTAGCAATCCTGTTTAGGGTTTCCAAGGAGTGGCTGGTGGTTAGCATCCAGCACTTATCTTACAGCACCATTCCGTATTGGCAGGGGTACTTAAGTAAAAATATGCATGCCAACCAGGGGACTCACTCAGCTCCCCATCCTACTAGATACCACAATAAACCTCTACCCACCCAGACAGGAGTTTAAAGGAATCTTCACTGGAGAAACAGGAAGCCCAAAAACAAAGATCTGCAAATACAGACACTGAGGAGGTGGCAACAAGACAGCTAACCAATCTTGCTAAACCACTTCACTGTAAGCCAAACAAGTCCACAAAGGCCATCCTCTTACCAAAGCTCCCAGTCAGATTTTAATGGCTCTCTTTTGAAACTGAACTAGCCAGAGCATCAGACATTAAGAAAAACATTTAGAATGAAAGGCAAAACTCATGTCCTTCAATTCTAAAACATCACCTTATACTGTTCCTTTTATAATTTATTTCCTTTCATTTCCTCTGTTCTCTGTACTGAAACACCTATTATGCCCCTCTGAACTGATTCCCAAATTTGCCTTTTATGTCATCTTCTCTCCCTCTCTCTCTCCCTCACTTCCTGTCTCTTGATCTGCATCCTGTTGTTATTTCTTGGTTACAAAAGCTACCCAAGGATCTGCATTTACAAAGAATGAAGCAAAAGTCCACACCAAGTTACTTTACCATGACAAATTCTATCAAGTTACTTTACCATGACAAATTCTATCATTAAGAATAAGATTTTCAAAGCTTCATAGAGAAAAAAACAACATATATATACATATATATCACATACAAAGGATCAGGAATCGACTATGAATCAACTATACATCACATACAAAGGACCAGGAACCAGCTGTGTAGGACTCCAGCAGCCACAGTAAGAACTGGAAGGCAATGCAGCAATGCACTCACAATCCTAAAAGTACTTCCATCCTATAATTCAAAGATACAATTAAGATACTCTTAAACTTTAAAGACCTCAGAAAAGTTACCTCCTCCACATCTTTTCTCAGGAAGCTACTGGAAAATTAGTAGAAGTGAAGACGGACAGAAAGTGACGCAGGAAGAATTAAGCTTCAGGAAAATGACGTCAAGTTCAGATTCTGATGGAGATTTTTACAGAGCAACAGTTTGCAAGCATTGAGTCATAGCACAGGTGTAGAATCATCAAATGTCAAGAACAAATAATTGCTCTGAGTAGCATTATGTTCCCACACATTTGTCAGCTTGTCGTACTGTGGTGGCTTGCTCATTGCTGTGATGCTGAAAGCTGTACCACTGGTGTTTCCCATACAGCAGAGTCATCCACAGTTGACAGGTTTCAGAGGCACTTCAAGACTAAGAATAGACGAGGAAGAAGGAACAGGCGGCTCACTTATGAGGAATTAGCCCCTGAACACCTTAGGAATAGCAGAAGATGAGCCCCTCAGGTTGGAAGGCACTCAAAATACGACTGAAGAAAACTGCTTCCTCAAAGCAGTCCTAATGACATGGAGGGAGCCAAGCGTTCAAGGCCTTTGAAGAGTTTTTTGAGCTGCAAACACCCATTAATAATCAGACCATGGAATGTATGAAATACAAATCTAGGAAAATTGGAAGTCATCACAAATGGAAAGATTGATATCCTAGGCACTGTTGTTGTTAGGTGCCATTGAGTCAGTACTGACCCATAGCAACCTTATGCACAGCAGAACGAAGCACTGCCTGATCCTGAGCCAACCTCACTACTGTTGCCATGCTTGAGCCCATCGATGCTACCACTTGGCCAATCCATCTCACTGGGTTTCTTCCTCTTTTTCTCTGACCCTCCACCTTACCAAATATGATATCCTTCTGCAGCGACTGGTCCCTCCTGACAGTATGTCTGAAGTATGACAGACAAAGTTTGGCCATCCTGGCCTCCAAGGAGCACTCTGGCTGCACTTCTTCCAACACAGATCTGTTGGTTCTATGGGCTGCCCATGGCACTTTCACTGTTCTCCTCCAACACCATAACTCAAAAGCATCAATTCTTCTACGATGTTCCTAGGCATTAGTGAGCTGAAATGACAGGTGGTGGCCCCGGTGAATCAGGCAACAATACGGTTTACTATGCCAGATGTGATAAACTGAAGAGGAATGGTGTTGCATTCATCATTAAAATTAACATTTCAAGATATATCTTGAAATTCAATGCTGGCTGTAATAAGATAATACTCATAAGACTACAATGAAGACTAGTTAATACAGCTATTACTCAAGTCTACACACCAACCACCAAAGCCAATGATGAAAAAACTCAAGAATTCTAACTTCTTCAGTCTGAAATTGATCAAATATGCAATCAAGATGCATTGATAATTACTGGTGATTGGAATGGGAAAGTTGGAAACAAAGAAAAGAGACACACCGTTGGAAAATATGGCCTTGGTGATAGAAATGACAATGGAGATCACATTATAAAATTTAGCAAGGTCAACAATCTTATTTCAGCAATATAAACAATGACTCTCCATGAGGAGTCCTGGTGTGGCACTGCAGGCTGCGGGATAAGGCACTGGGCTGGGCTTCAGAGCCCTACATGGGTCGCTCTGAGTCGGAATTGACTAAACGGCAATGAATTTATATGGGCTGGTGCTCTAGACAGAAAGAGGAGGAGACATTAAAGACTCTCATATTCTTTATCCAGCTTTCTCGTTGGTCTTCAACTGCTCTTGAAATTCACTTCACTGTGTACAACTGTATATGTTTTTATCATTGGATCATTCCATCTTGCCTGTAGCCACATTATCTTCATACTTGTTGCTCTTAAACTGCCACTGCATCCTTAGGACTGTGCCCTTCAACTGTATTACCATGCCTATCATTCATATGGACCCCTGGTGTGGAGCTGTAGTATAAGCACAGGATCATCAACCACAAGGTCGGTGGTTCAAATCCACCAGTTGCTCCTCGCAAACCCTTTACAGTGTCACCATGAGTCAGAACGGACTCAACAGCACTTAACAACAATAAAACATGTGGCTTTAGAGCCCAGGTAGTGTAGTAGATTATGAGCTGGGATGTTAACCACATGATCAGTAGAGCGAAATCTACCAGTCACACTGTGGAAGATGAGGCTTTCTGCTCACGTAAGGATTTACAACCTACAAAAGGTCTG